TCTTCTCGAGTCAAAAGTTATTCAGTAATACACACAGGAAATTTCTTTTTGATATGAGATAATATTAAGTTCGATTTCGACTAATTCCGCTTAAATTTCAGTAAAGTGGATAGTATTTTTAGTATGTTCAAATTAAAAAATCCGCAAAATGAGAAATGATCTAGTTCTCTGTGCCTGTATTTTGTTTTTAGATCTTTTTATCCGATCGAAGAGTTAACAATTGAAGAAACGAAATAATAAAAGTGCGCCTTCGTTGTTTATTGTAAACTGCGATTCGCGTATGTTTGTTAGTAATAAAAAAAACAGTCTCAACTGTTTTAGTTGAAACAGAAACCTAGAAAAGTAAACGTTTCAAATAGAAGGGGGTGTATGGGGTGAATCTACACAACTTACCTGTTGGCTTTTTCTTCTGTAATGTCGCGTATGAGCTAAGTAGTATTTGTAAACGTGAGGGGGCATTTGTCTTCTTGTTTCTTCCCCTATCCACAAGTCTTGTTGTAAATGAAGCGGTAAAGGTGGAGGTGGCTGCTGGGCCGAGGGGCTAGGGTCTCGTGCAGAAGACAACCGGCTCATATGATACGCGTCCTAGGCTTTTTAGATGCGGCAATGTCACGCACCACGAACAAACAATTCGAAAACAAGCTTAAATTTAATTAACGCTAACATGACCAAAATCATACCTACAAAATATATGTTTGTGGTTTTGAAACGTTTGGAGATTATCTTTCAATCATAATTTAGTCAATTAATAATTAAATCTATTGAAAACGTGTAAGAAGCACTGTAGAGTTTGATGTTTATTTTGTTACTCAGATTTAACACAAGATTCCTATGTTTTTTGTTATTTACTTTGTAACAAAACAGATGAACGTACTTCTTTTGTTATTTGTCTTAAAAGCGTTTAAAAAAAAATGAACAACAATTAATAACAGGCAACTGTTTCATTGATTAGTAAATAATTTAACATAGTTATGGTACGCCAGGATGCATTTTTGAAACTCATTAGGATCCGATTAAATTTTCAGCAGGCACAATTGAAAACACATTTCTGTTTCGGGTTAATGCGATAGATTAATATCTATACGCTGGATGTACACACAGTAAATGCGTCAAAATTTTTAATTCTCTTTTGAGCATCAGCTATATCGGATTCGTCGAAATAACGAACGCTGTTTTGGCCTGTCGTGACAATCAACAAATGCTTTTATTGATTTATAGGGTGGCTATTACAGCTGTCAAACTTTTCACAATGTGCGCGTTTAGAAAACTGACACAAGATTGATTACGGTATGATAGCACACGTTTCGCCACTTTTCGTCAAATATTTGGTCAATTCTACCCTTGCCGAAAAAAGAAAATTGGAATGACACATAAAATCACATTCTTCTATTTTTAACAATATCTATCGCAATATGTAAAAACAAAACAGCATCTGCTGCTGTTCTTTTTTGTTTTTGAGATGTGATTGTTTATTGGAAGAATCATGTAGTTCTTTTTTCTTTTAAAGATTAAGTTTTGATTGCTTTCTTGCGTTGAGTTTCGAAAGCTGTGATTTGAGTTTGGGTCGCAGAATCTCTTAAATAATAATTGCATACGTGGAAAGTTTGAGATCGAATTTAATGCATTAAAAGTTTCGAACATGTCAGTTTTCTAACATCTGCAGCCAACGGCACAGTTAGAATGGATCTAGCAGTTTCACATGTTGACTCCAATGTCCTTTAGAAAGCAAAGTTCGGAATTGCTGAAGGGCTTTTAGAATATTGTGGGCACTTTACACCACCGGAATTCGTCCACACCATAAATAAAGGTGCAAATACTCTACAGTTACACGTAAATATTGAATCGCGAATGGAATATTAAATTAACGCGTACTACCTCATGTATTTTTCATTTGTTTCATGAAAATTTGATCAAAATAAACAGAAGACGATTGGCGCTTGTATTTTGTTTTATTTTGTTTCATTATCTTTTGTTGAATTAACAGAATCTCTAATAAAATATTTAACGCGTACTAAAAGCATTTTTCTTTTGTTTCTCTAAAATTTGACCAAAATAAACAGGAGACGATGGGCGCTTGTATAGTAAATGCTTCAATTCAGACCAAAAAACATTTATAAAAAGTATTAGTAAGTTTTAGAATACAGCGGTTCAGTAAACAGAAAAGTTAGAATTTTTAGAATAAAAAAATGGTGGATGCGCCGGACAGAAATATAAAATGAGACGTTTGTGGTACACAACTTCGACAATATCCATAAATTTGCACATTCCTCAGTTAAAATTAAACGAAATACCAAATGTTTTTCGTAATTCCTGGAATGGTTTCCATTTTCAAAAACCTTTTTACAGAGTCAACGTAGGCACCTATATTAAGTTGTTTTTTTATACTTTCTAAGAATTTTACGAATGAATACTTGTAAAGAAATAAAAAGAAATTAGATTCTTGGAAAACGGCTACAAGCGAGAAGATTCTAAGAAAATTGCGTACAAAGTTAGCTACTCGGAAAATTCTCGAACCCTTTTCTTCCGACAAAATTTTCCAAATAATAAAGAAAATCGCTTGAAGGAAAATACTTTGATTTTATAGCGAAAATTAACTAAATGTATATAAACTATTCACAAAGTTCATTGCTGCTTGAGAAGATTCAATAACAATCTTTCGTCATTAAAGGTTTCCTTTCTCAAATCATATTCAATTGTTTTAATGGTTTAGCATTCTCCCATCGAACAAAATAGTTCCCAGAAGACTAAATTTTATTGGGACGTAAAATGTCCATTAAACAATTACCGTTTGGTTATTTTCGATCACAAACATTTTAGTGGTAGCTGTGGCTAGAATTGCACTTTAGTATCCAGTACCTAGTGACACATAAATCGCAGTGATTTATTCGTTTATCTTTTTCTTTTTATAGTTGCTATCATTCGATTTGTACATAAAAAAAATTTATCGTTTGAAAAACATGAAAATCTAATCAAAAGTATGTCTTAATTTTTGGGACAACCATTCTGCATTAAAAACCGTGCTTTTTTGTTTGTACAATGGGATCAGTTACAATTGTTTTTGTTTTTGTTTTTATTTTGACAGGCGTTTGTTCTGCGACAAAAGAACTTCGTTTGTTTTCTTTTCGTAAGTTACGCAGTTATTTAGTAACTGAGTTAGTCCATTAAACAAAAAAAAAAAACGTTACTGATAAGCCAAACGCTTTCACGCAAAATGTTCTTTCATTGTAGTTGTAAGCCAAAAAAAATTATTAGGAGTGAACGATAAGTGTGATAAATGGATTGTAGCAGATGAGCTTTGAAAAGCTCGTCACCCTCTGTTTATCATTTATCATATAGAACATCTACTTTCCAGAAATACTCCCGTTGACAATAAAAGTGAAAAACAAAGTCCCACAGGAGGTGCATCACGAGTTATATTTAGAACGACGTACCATTAATATTGAGGAAAATATTAAAAAAAAAAAAAAACGAAAAGAAAATATTCCGTTCATCATAAACAAAACCAAAAAAATATCTACCCGAATGTAATTTTCCAACCAATGGAATAAACTTATATAACTACCCCTATTCTTCCTAATATTTTATTCTATTCCCGGTAACCAACCTGAACCTATATTTCGTACTAATGGTTGAAAGATAATTAAAATTTAGGGCTGCTAAAGTCCACTCGCATCCCGTGCCCGTTATTTTATTGTAACAAATCACACCCGGCCGGCGTTTCGACCAACGCAATTCGGCGTCGTCATTAATATGACAAAATTATAACACACTAGCAATTGCTTCTACTAACCACGATTCATGATTAGTTTTATAATAAATTCGCTAGGAACAAATGAATGTTACGTGCGGTAAGCTTCTACACGGAGGTTCGCCGCGCCGGACGCAGATGTGAGTCCTTTTGCGCGTCGGGAGCGACTATTACCGTCGAATGTACGTAGCGACGCCCGCGACGGCGACGCTCTGGTGCGCCTTCCATGGAGAAGCCGTGCAGACATTATATGTACAGGATGTTCGAGATTTTTATCCCTTAACAACCGTTACGTTATGTTTTATATTCTGATATTTTACCGATGGATCCTTTATCTTTGCTGAATTGCTCATGAAGGAAATTCATTGAAATATGTAGGTTTAATGGGACAGTGAAATGGATTTTAGCGCCAGTCTGTCTGACCGTGTATTTCTTCGTTCTATTTTAACTTTATAACTAACTAAAGTTATTTTCGAAGCAAATCGTTAGAAAAAGTTGTAAAAAGTTGAAGGTCTTTAAACAAAGCAGAATCTATAGGTATAGATAATTGTTTTGAAACGTACCCTCAAAACAAAAGCGTTACACTTATGAAAAAAAGGAACGTATTTTAAACAAAGAAGAATCTACATAGTTGTTTTATTGCATTCCTCGTTGTTTAAAAACAAGTTAGCAGAAGTGCTCCGTAACACTCACTTTTTTCTTCACTTGTGGTGAAGATTTCTCAATCTTTATTACATTTTAAGCAATAATAAGGGTTCTGATGGTACCATTAAGCGCAATGAAAGAAGGAAAGCAATAAATAACGTTAACAATCATTGTAATATAGGGATTGTCACGAAATAATGCCGGATCTCGGCGAAACAAATCAACAAATTGGCGTCACAACTCCAGATTTATGTCTTACTTTAGAAATAGCGGTTTCAAATTGTTAATTCCTTACAAAATACGACAACGATGACGTTTAGCTAATGATCTCATCAAATGCAAAACACAACCAACTATTACATCGAACCCGGCAGCATTACAAATCATCTAAGGGACGGAAATCCTTGGTTTTAGGACCCGTCCATTTCGGAAATATCCTTATTCCTTTAAGGAAGTCAGGGAAAATTAGATATTCAAATCACTACAGGTACCTACCAAAACATCTCACAATTGTGTAATTTTGCAAAGCTTTTTAACTTCTTTTTAAAGTAAATGGAAGTTTAATGTTGAAAATAATTACAACTCTGGATTAAAAGAATGATCCTACCTTTACGTGGGATTTACAAAGGAGTTCGATTAATTCGTGAGCGTCCCTTCTGTCCGTCTCTTTTCTTAGTTCGCAATCCCGTAAGATGTCCAGAAGTTCTTTCGTCTTTTGGACCGCATCACTCGATGGAGGTCGAACAGGTGGTGGAATTTTATTTGCTATCTTGTCGTAAAGCTGCAATAAAATGGAAGCAATTTACAAAGCGGGCGCAGCAGCTGTTATTACGTTCCTATTTTTCAATCGGACAACATCCCGCGGGAACAGACACAAAAATCCGGGCCAAGACGCTCCGAAATGAACGTGATAATTCGAATAGTTCTGTTTACCGAAACAATCAATTTGTTTTCCGTTCGTTTATTTTCCTTTTCATCTGTTTTTATTCACTCGATTTTGTTATTTTTCATTTGTTCTTTTCTTTTTTTTCTGCTTTTGCTCGTCTGTTTTAATAATAGAAACACTTACCTACCTCTAAAAGTGAATGTAAATCAGTGTCTTCGAGGAGCGCGAGATGATGGGCCCTCTCCTGAGGCTGCGACTCTTGAAGACAATAGATATCATCTAACGAATCTAGTATCACGGCGACGGCTGCGAAAAAAAAAAAGAAAGAAGACGAAATTAAAACCGCCATATGCAATTTTATATCCCTTTTGAGAAACTTGTCGTAATTAAGAGTATTCGCCGTCACTCGACAATCGAATTAAAAACGCTCTAATATTTTTGTCTGTGCCACCACCCAGAAAACGGGAAAAGGGAAAATTTTCCGCTATATAATCGCGTAATGATCGTCATCATCATCGTCGTTAAGTCGATTTTTTAATTTAATTGTTTTTTAAAAACGTAATTAAATTAAAACGCCAGAGGCCGGTGCGTCCTGGATTTTAATTAGTAGACTAGGGTTGCTGTTTTGTTTGGAATCATGGTTGACTGATTTGAGTTAAATTATGATAATTCCCTTCCTGCTAAGTATATATTTACTACTACGTACATAATAATGTCTAATAAGAGATTTTTGAAGCGAAGCTTTATTGTTTAGAATTTAAAATTTATTTGAAAAATTATACGAAAGCAAATGTTTATCTTTAGTTTCCGTGATAAAACGTTGAAGCCATGTTTGAGAACAAAATAAAGGAAAATTGGAAATAATTATCGAACAAATGAGATCAGAAACAATTACTGGGTGAAGATAAACAAGTGAAATTAAGAACAAAACAATTAACGAATAACAAACAAATGAGTGAACAGCTATGATATTAGAAAAACAATCGCTGGGTGACATAAAAATTGAAATAAAAGAAAAAACAATTATCAAATGACAAAAACAGAAGTAAAATTATAAAAAAAAAGAAACAATTACCGGATGACGAAACCTCTTCGTCTCCGAAATCTGAAAAACTATCTGAAGCAAATTCATCACAGGAAAACCATTTACTAGAGTGAGCAGCACTCAAAACTATTGTTTTCAATTTCCTAAGAGCGTTAATTTTTTTGAGTTCTTCTACAGCTAAGCCAAGATGTATCCGAAGTCCTCTGTCTCTACCCTATAAAAAAAAAATATAAATCAAAATTCATCGATTTCACTCCAAACGTGCTTCTTCTGGTAAATAATCTTTACCCGAATCCATTTATGCGCCAGGACTTCTTGGATAGTTATCCTTTGTTGAGGATCTACGGTTAACATTTGTTTGACTAAGTCTTTTGCGTTATCACTTACAAATTCCCATTGAGAAGTGTCCAGCTGGAACGAGAAAAGATCCAAATCAATAAAATTACCGTGAAACTGATACCGGAAGTGTGTCAACTAACGTATAATTTTCCTCGGCAAATAGAGTCTACCAGTCTTCTTCCTCTGCCATGAAAAGGATAGGTTCCAGAAAGGACTATATGTAGCAGGACTCCCGCTGCCCAGATATCTCCTGGTTTACCGTATTGTCGTCGCTGTACAACCTCGGGTGCCATAAAATGGGGACAACCCACACGTGCTAAACAAAAGGAAGTATTTTTTTTTCGATTAACACAAAACAATCCAAATTTTATTATATTAAATTTAAAGGGCTTCTACTGCTCCGATTTTCTAGCGAAAAGCAAGTGGAAAACTTAGAAAGATAAAGAGGACTTTCAGTGGTCGTATATCTTAATGGTTGACACCCTGTCATGCGAAGAAATGTGAAATTCTAGACTGCAGTTTTACAAGAAAAGAATATGATGAATTACTTCCTTCGCGTTTTAAAAAGCAACAAACGTTTTCCATGATAGTGACAAAAATAGCTGCACACTTCGTACGTAAGAATATACAAAGTGATATTCATTTGTTTCTGCTTACACAAAACAATTTCTATATCAATGAGACAAAACAAAAGCTATTAGTTTTTGTTTTATCCATTGCAAACCTTCATTTTTATTAGTTAATAAAAAATTTCGCGTTCATTTATTTTTTTGTTTTGAGGGGTAAGTAAGGAGAAGTTGACACGTACCAACGTTGTTTGTGGAATGTTTTTCGGAGATTTGGATCGCTACCCCAAATCCTCCCAGTTTCACGGGGGCTGAGTTTTCTTTACTAGTCAAAAGAATGCATTCGGGCTTCAAATCCCTGTGAATGATGTCATTTNGATTCCTATGTTTTTTGTTATTTACTTTGTAACAAAACAGATGAACGTACTTCTTTTGTTATTTGTCTTAAAAGCGTTTAAAAAAAAATGAACAACAATTAATAACAGGCAACTGTTTCATTGATTAGTAAATAATTTAACATAGTTATGGTACGCCAGGATGCATTTTTGAAACTCATTAGGATCCGATTAAATTTTCAGCAGGCACAATTGAAAACACATTTCTGTTTCGGGTTAATGCGATAGATTAATATCTATACGCTGGATGTACACACAGTAAATGCGTCAAAATTTTTAATTCTCTTTTGAGCATCAGCTATATCGGATTCGTCGAAATAACGAACGCTGTTTTGGCCTGTCGTGACAATCAACAAATGCTTTTATTGATTTATAGGGTGGCTATTACAGCTGTCAAACTTTTCACAATGTGCGCGTTTAGAAAACTGACACAAGATTGATTACGGTATGATAGCACACGTTTCGCCACTTTTCGTCAAATATTTGGTCAATTCTACCCTTGCCGAAAAAAGAAAATTGGAATGACACATAAAATCACATTCTTCTATTTTTAACAATATCTATCGCAATATGTAAAAACAAAACAGCATCTGCTGCTGTTCTTTTTTGTTTTTGAGATGTGATTGTTTATTGGAAGAATCATGTAGTTCTTTTTTCTTTTAAAGATTAAGTTTTGATTGCTTTCTTGCGTTGAGTTTCGAAAGCTGTGATTTGAGTTTGGGTCGCAGAATCTCTTAAATAATAATTGCATACGTGGAAAGTTTGAGATCGAATTTAATGCATTAAAAGTTTCGAACATGTCAGTTTTCTAACATCTGCAGCCAACGGCACAGTTAGAATGGATCTAGCAGTTTCACATGTTGACTCCAATGTCCTTTAGAAAGCAAAGTTCGGAATTGCTGAAGGGCTTTTAGAATATTGTGGGCACTTTACACCACCGGAATTCGTCCACACCATAAATAAAGGTGCAAATACTCTACAGTTACACGTAAATATTGAATCGCGAATGGAATATTAAATTAACGCGTACTACCTCATGTATTTTTCATTTGTTTCATGAAAATTTGATCAAAATAAACAGAAGACGATTGGCGCTTGTATTTTGTTTTATTTTGTTTCATTATCTTTTGTTGAATTAACAGAATCTCTAATAAAATATTTAACGCGTACTAAAAGCATTTTTCTTTTGTTTCTCTAAAATTTGACCAAAATAAACAGGAGACGATGGGCGCTTGTATAGTAAATGCTTCAATTCAGACCAAAAAACATTTATAAAAAGTATTAGTAAGTTTTAGAATACAGCGGTTCAGTAAACAGAAAAGTTAGAATTTTTAGAATAAAAAAATGGTGGATGCGCCGGACAGAAATATAAAATGAGACGTTTGTGGTACACAACTTCGACAATATCCATAAATTTGCACATTCCTCAGTTAAAATTAAACGAAATACCAAATGTTTTTCGTAATTCCTGGAATGGTTTCCATTTTCAAAAACCTTTTTACAGAGTCAACGTAGGCACCTATATTAAGTTGTTTTTTTATACTTTCTAAGAATTTTACGAATGAATACTTGTAAAGAAATAAAAAGAAATTAGATTCTTGGAAAACGGCTACAAGCGAGAAGATTCTAAGAAAATTGCGTACAAAGTTAGCTACTCGGAAAATTCTCGAACCCTTTTCTTCCGACAAAATTTTCCAAATAATAAAGAAAATCGCTTGAAGGAAAATACTTTGATTTTATAGCGAAAATTAACTAAATGTATATAAACTATTCACAAAGTTCATTGCTGCTTGAGAAGATTCAATAACAATCTTTCGTCATTAAAGGTTTCCTTTCTCAAATCATATTCAATTGTTTTAATGGTTTAGCATTCTCCCATCGAACAAAATAGTTCCCAGAAGACTAAATTTTATTGGGACGTAAAATGTCCATTAAACAATTACCGTTTGGTTATTTTCGATCACAAACATTTTAGTGGTAGCTGTGGCTAGAATTGCACTTTAGTATCCAGTACCTAGTGACACATAAATCGCAGTGATTTATTCGTTTATCTTTTTCTTTTTATAGTTGCTATCATTCGATTTGTACATAAAAAAAATTTATCGTTTGAAAAACATGAAAATCTAATCAAAAGTATGTCTTAATTTTTGGGACAACCATTCTGCATTAAAAACCGTGCTTTTTTGTTTGTACAATGGGATCAGTTACAATTGTTTTTGTTTTTGTTTTTATTTTGACAGGCGTTTGTTCNTAAAAAAAAAGAAACAATTACCGGATGACGAAACCTCTTCGTCTCCGAAATCTGAAAAACTATCTGAAGCAAATTCATCACAGGAAAACCATTTACTAGAGTGAGCAGCACTCAAAACTATTGTTTTCAATTTCCTAAGAGCGTTAATTTTTTTGAGTTCTTCTACAGCTAAGCCAAGATGTATCCGAAGTCCTCTGTCTCTACCCTATAAAAAAAAAATATAAATCAAAATTCATCGATTTCACTCCAAACGTGCTTCTTCTGGTAAATAATCTTTACCCGAATCCATTTATGCGCCAGGACTTCTTGGATAGTTATCCTTTGTTGAGGATCTACGGTTAACATTTGTTTGACTAAGTCTTTTGCGTTATCACTTACAAATTCCCATTGAGAAGTGTCCAGCTGGAACGAGAAAAGATCCAAATCAATAAAATTACCGTGAAACTGATACCGGAAGTGTGTCAACTAACGTATAATTTTCCTCGGCAAATAGAGTCTACCAGTCTTCTTCCTCTGCCATGAAAAGGATAGGTTCCAGAAAGGACTATATGTAGCAGGACTCCCGCTGCCCAGATATCTCCTGGTTTACCGTATTGTCGTCGCTGTACAACCTCGGGTGCCATAAAATGGGGACAACCCACACGTGCTAAACAAAAGGAAGTATTTTTTTTTCGATTAACACAAAACAATCCAAATTTTATTATATTAAATTTAAAGGGCTTCTACTGCTCCGATTTTCTAGCGAAAAGCAAGTGGAAAACTTAGAAAGATAAAGAGGACTTTCAGTGGTCGTATATCTTAATGGTTGACACCCTGTCATGCGAAGAAATGTGAAATTCTAGACTGCAGTTTTACAAGAAAAGAATATGATGAATTACTTCCTTCGCGTTTTAAAAAGCAACAAACGTTTTCCATGATAGTGACAAAAATAGCTGCACACTTCGTACGTAAGAATATACAAAGTGATATTCATTTGTTTCTGCTTACACAAAACAATTTCTATATCAATGAGACAAAACAAAAGCTATTAGTTTTTGTTTTATCCATTGCAAACCTTCATTTTTATTAGTTAATAAAAAATTTCGCGTTCATTTATTTTTTTGTTTTGAGGGGTAAGTAAGGAGAAGTTGACACGTACCAACGTTGTTTGTGGAATGTTTTTCGGAGATTTGGATCGCTACCCCAAATCCTCCCAGTTTCACGGGGGCTGAGTTTTCTTTACTAGTCAAAAGAATGCATTCGGGCTTCAAATCCCTGTGAATGATGTCATTTTCGTGACAATAGCGGAGCGCCTCCAAAATCTGTCGCATGTAGTGACTGTAACAACAAATCATCAATGCTGAACTAAACAATACTGAAAAAAAGAATACTATCGGAATTTCAATTACAAAAAATCTCTTGTTAGTTTAACATAATTGATTGTTTCAATTCCTCAATTTTCAACCCCTTAACACCGATGAAACAAAGACGGTATATAAAACGATTTATTTTGGCAATAAATGAAAAAATTACCTAGCTACTGCCTCGCTGTAAACAAATCCAGCTGCAGCCCTTCTGGCAACTTCATAACACAAATCAGATCCATCCATGCTACAATAAAAATGTACTACAGTATAATTATGAAACCATCAAATGAGAATTAGGGCAAACAAAAGAATCGCAAGGAATTTGTTTTTTAAAACAAATGTTAACCGCTTATTAAACAATTGAATCTTAAACGACAAAGATGTTTTATGAATACAGATAATTTTAAAATAGGTACCGATAAATAAAATATTTAACTCAATGGAAAAATGTGAATCTAGAAAAGTTATAAAAGTTTTAGACGTGCTCTCTTTTTCCACCACTGAAACTCTATATGAGGTCTGAAGATTTGACTTCTCTTTGATGCAAATTGCAGCCTTACCGAATGTTAATATTCACTTTGATCTCATGAGCAAAGTTATTTTGAAACTTCAAATACTGTGACATTTGGCTTTAGCTTGAAATGTCATTAAAATCAATAGTTAGAACTTTTGAAGTATAAGAACTTTCGTAAGCTTCAATATGACATTTTCCAGCAATCTCATCTGGAAATTCTGTGTAATATAAGATCAGATTTTACAAAAAAGAAAACCTTTAGACGCTTAGCGATAAAAGTATAATTTTCTTATTTGTTTTAAGTTGCCTTCCTCTACCTTTATTAGTTATTTCATTGTTTTTTAAAAGGAAACAAATGCAAAACTTCCATTGTAAAAAAGTTGAGTGACCATCCAGTATTTCGTTGTTTTTAAACGTTAAACAACGAAAGCAAATGCGAAAGTCAATTGTTTACGCGATTGCACATACTCATAGTAAATGTAAACATAAGCAAACAATCAGGGTTTAAAAAAAAAAGATGAAAATAGAAAAGTTTTTAGATGCAATGCTACATTAATTTTGATTACTATTCTCAGTATGCTGGTTGAGCAGAGCGTAATTCGGAAAATTGTTTCACCATTTAGATTTAACGACTCAAATGATTTATTTAAAGCGATTTCGTCCAGAGTCTGGCACTAAACTCCAAAAGCACTTGCATTCAAACAAATTTATTGGTTGTGTATTCCTGAAAAACGAAACACAAAAAAAGGTCTCGAAAAGGGATACACAGTTACGCAGACCGTGAAAATTAAAGTGAAACCGACTGTAAATTTCGAAGAAATAAAACTCTCTCAGGACCCAAATCGCTCGCTCAACAAATCTTCCCCATCAAATAATAATTTTTATCAGTTTTTTATTTTCGGCTTTTTAGTTTCAAGGATAACATAATGTATACAGGGTGGTGGGTAAATTAAATAAATAAATAAGTTCTTTATTTGAATTAGGTCTTGCGATTCCCAGCCCTTCGTTTATTTATTGTTTGAGAAGACCATAAAAATCACTTACTATTCAAAAACCATATAAAGCATCCCTTCGGAAGAATAAGTCTCTAGAAGTTCGACAATATGAGGGTGTTTTAACATGTGACAAATTGTCGCTTCTCGTTTAAGGTCTGAAATGTTTAGGGATGTTTTTTTATAAGCGATCGGCTTTTGTTTTCTTTAAAAAAAATATACTTGCCTTCGGTGCTAAGTCCAGGGTGTGAGGTAAATTTTGCGACATCAACAATTTTAACAGCAAACTGTTGATTAGTTTGTCGGTGGATGCATCTTCTGACTGCACTAAATGGTCCCCTGCAAATACATATAAATTTTCGATCTTTTTTGGTTTCTTATTTNGAGTAATGGGGGTGCATTTGTCTTGTTTGTGATTTTTAGAATTAAACAAAAAAAAGTGAAACAAAACACATTTAATAGAATTATTTATTAAGTAAATAAAAACAACTTTTATCACTATTGTTTATGTATTACTACACAGATAACAATTTTTATCAGCTTTTTCGTTGACTAGACGTTTGTTTTGTATCATTATTTAAACAATTGCTCTAAAAAAAAATTTCGACAATTTTTCACAAATGAAATTTATTTTTCACTATTAAAATGGCCACAGTCAAAATTAAAAATGCTTAATAAATAAATAAATAAACAAGTAAATAATTAAAGCACCCTTAACCGTCCAGTTCACAGTTTTGTGCAAAAGCAAGCCCAAAATTCGCCCATGTTACAAAAAAATTGTCAAACAGAAATAAAACCATAAAAATCGTTTACTTTTACGCTTTTATTGAGTAAATATCGAATTTAAATAATAACAGAATTTATTCAACTCTCCAAATGAACAAACCACACAGTTTTTAAAAATTTGTTTTGTATTTTACAGCAGGTACAAATAATAACAGCGATTACAATAGGTACAGTTTAACTAACGATAAATTAATTAAAAAGGCATGCACATTAATTATAATTCTGCTATAGGTGGAGATGGGGAAGTAGGGGGGACGGATCGTTTATTGTAACATATTAATAAATTAACAAGTGCCATAAACAATATAATAAAACCATATAAATTGTGCGGGTAAGCCAGCGGGGATTAAAAATTAATAAAAGCGTTACATTTACGGACTGCAAATTAATTTCTCTATAACGTCTTCCTACCTTCCGATTTCTTCGCACAATTCGTAAACTTCGTCGAACAGTATTTCCTCTTCGGCCATCGTGGAATGCATTCAAAAAAAAAATAACAGAAGTCGAAATGAGGTACGAATAACAAAAACAACGCCCTTTATTGTATTTTTTTGTGAGGATAGATCAAAAAATTCGAATAAGATATCGTAGAATCCAGAAAATTTGCAGGCAAACTGCACTTCTAGTGGTGTGCATTTTGGGTTGCCGGTACACAAAATATCGGATATCCGCACGAATCCAGTCCCATTAAAATGGCTGCACCACTTTCATCAATGAAAACCCTATGGTCAAACCTGTGATCCAAGTGTATCGCCACAAAAAAAAATTGGTTAGTGCACGCAAACCGATCGGCTTAACACATGCACTTTTAAAATTGCAAATTCAAATTCTCACACACACCCACAAAAATTGTGACAAATAAAAACTATGACAGCGATTTTACGGCGAACGAACCGGCGCAAAGGTTGAATCACCAAACAATCAGGTGACATGCGCTGGTTATGGTAGGCCCTTTAATTCATTAAAAAAAGTACAGGAAAACTAACGTTAATAGGCCCTTTTGTCGCAAAAAATGCCGATTCTACAGAATAATTACTCCATCAATCGTAAATAATTATTAAAGAGTCGTCTGTTGCTGTGAAAGCATACTTAATAAAATATTTCTCTAATTGGATTGTTTAATCATGTTTCAAATGTCCTTGGATGTTACAACTGATTGGTTGAATTAAATTTTATTAATTTAAATTAATTAAAATTGTTAGGTCCATAACTATACGTCCCTTTCACCCTTATTGTCATCCTCTATTCTATAATTTACCCTTAAATTTCTGTTAAATACCCTTTTTTTTATATATTAAGTGTAAAAATTAAGATTTGACAAGTTCAACAATGCGATTGTCAATGCTTTATCAAACAATGAAAATGACTGAGTTAACAATGGGGTTTTATTGATCATAGAGTAAAAATGACTGAGTCAACAATTAGGTTTTATTGATTAAACAATGGAAATTGACAATATGAACAATGAATCTGTGATTGTATACTTATTTGACCTTGCAATCGATCCCAACCCCTTAATAATTGCTAATATAAGGAAATATTAATAAGTAGACAAAAAGATAATTCAACATTTTTTTATTTAGTATTGGAATTGGTGTAAACATTTGGCTTATTCTAATAATCTAACGCACCGCTAGATTTTCTAAACGTAAAATGTGAAATTGCAGTTAAATATAGTCATCATGCAAAACGAGAGAAATAATTTATCAATAAATCTACATAAAAAAAATAGTTACAACAAACTTAAATTCCCAGTTACTTCGTCTACAGTTGCAATGTCTCCAAAAAGCGCCAAAACTGTACATGAACCTGCAGGTATTTGTGTTCTGCCTGCATCTTGAACTAGGTATGAGATCAACTCGTGGCTCTCCCCCTTTTTTTGCAATTCCTTCAAGTGAACATGGTCGACTGCTTTTAACACTATTTTCTTTTCTCTGAAATAAGATGTTTGCAATAATAAAATTAATATTATCCAAAAGGAGAGAGAACAAACCCTTCTGAGAGCCAAACATCTACGGCAGCTTCATTTTTTTGAAGTAGTTTATTGTAAAGGCCTAAACATGCATGTGCCACCTGAAACATTTACTTTAAAATATGAGGTTTCCCTGTTCAATGTGCTCAAGGTTACTTGTGCTGCAATTTTTCCTGTTCCCATGTTCAAAGATATGTTTACAGCGAAAACCATTTTGAACTGTTCATCGTACTCATCAAAATGATGCTCCCTGCTCCCATGTTTCTGTTCCACATGGATTTCTCCAGCTGCTTCAGACATTAGCACCTTTTCTTCTTTATCTATTCTAACATTTTCACCACTTAAACTGTCACCCTGTTCGGCATTCGTTAAGACAGAAAGTTCTGAATAGTCTACTTCAGGATTGTCATATAAAAATGTCATTGCAGCTTCAACGGAATCGTTTCCTGTACAAATCAAGGCCTATAAATTGGAAATTCAGGTAAAGCAGAGACACCTTTTAAACTTACATGTTCGGCAATTTGTTCTGAGATTCCCATTTCGGTTAACAACTTTAAAAAGTCCTTATTTGGCTTAACTGGAGCTGCATTCATGGTTTTGGATATTTAGAAGAACCTTAAATCGAAGAAAAATGAAGATAACCACCCCTTGTGTGGTGCACCTTGTCAATTTCGAAAAATAGGTTAAGTGTAAAGACAGATTTGTAAAGATTTGGATTTGGACAATGGCTAGGAAAAGAGAGGGAGTGATTTCCCCTTTAATGCCAAAATCGGTGGTTTCATTCCAAGGTCATTGGTTATGCCAATTTTGCATTGTTGGAAAGGTTTTTGAGTTAGGTTTTATGTTAGAGTGGGGGAAGGGTGATTCCCCTAACTTCTCTTATAAGGGGTATTGATGATCTGATTTGAAAACGGTGATTCTGATGATAATGTGCTTGAAACAGCATCGATTTTGATCATTACTGTTATTCCTGGTTTATATATAGTACCCTTTTTTGGAAAAATACATAAAAATCGGCCTATTATATGTACGATTCCTTGTCGACTTTGGGTTTAAAATCGTAGAAGACTTGTAAAATCGAGATCTGGCTCCGAAGTCTCACGAATACGGGTTCGTGTGAGACTCGTGGTTTTGTTGTGATTTCTGATAGATCGGAGGATACACGATAGATCGTTGATTATTTTCTAAGGCTGAATCCCGAATGTTTGGGCTAAGGTTTTTTGTGGTTTTTTGGTAGATGGTACGTATTTTCCATTAAAAATTACTTATATTTAGTGACTTCGATCGTTTTAGACAATGAACGAAGCCGGTGCTCTTCCTCATGGACCACCAATAAATATTCTTCCTCCAACTCCTGCAGGACTAGAATCTCTCTACTCGTTATGCCGTAAAATTTATCCTGATCAACCAAATCCTTTGCAAGTGACGGCATTATTGAAATATTGGTAATATGTTTTGAAAATTTTAGTTGAGGCAAATGACCTGTCTGCCATTAATGAGAATGAGTTCTAAATTTAAAACTCCACCCTTACTTCCTGTTACAGTTATTTTTAGTTGGCTTAAGCTTTTTCTTTATATTTAGTGACCATTTTCTCCAATTACCATTTTTTATATCGATGTTTAGGCTTGGTGGTCCAGATCCTCTGGATTACATTTCCATGTATGCAAACCCTGGAAATCCTCAGGCAAATATTCCCCCTCATTGGCATTATATTAGGTAATGGGTGTGAATTTAAGCTTCAGTTAGTTCCATTACATAAGGGATTATCTTTTTTTAAGTTTTGGGTTGTCAGATCTTCATGGAGATGGCAGGGTTCATGAGGTTACCACTCCAAATGGAGTCTCAGGTTATGGGTTTGAGTTGTCCTTTAGATTACAAAGGCATCCAGAGGAGACAGCTCCTCCCACTTGGCCGGCTACATTGATGCAATCATTGGCAAAATACGTTTTTCAATCAGGTACCTATCACAGTGTTACTGATAGTGAAACATATCACTAAAGAATTGTCTGAAATATAGGCAACACACTCTGCGCGGGTGACCACGTATCCTGGCACTGTGCTTTGGATAACAGCGAATCTCGTATACAGCACATGCTGATGACCACAGACCCTCAATTGAGGAGTACACAGACTCCTTTTGGTAGCGTTGACTTTGTCCAAATAGTTGGAGTGTGTGCCGAAGAACTCAGAGCTGCCCAACAATGGACTGGTACTGGTGTCTTAGAGATGTTGAGCAGGTTTTCACAGTAAGACCTGTGGTTTATTTTTTGTAACTGTTTTCTCACTATATACCATCTCCTGTAGAACCGGGGGTCCTTGGCTCATAACGGATATGAGGAGGGGTGAATGTATTTTTGATGTGGATCCTGCTGCTCATGAGAAGATTGAAAATGGGTTTGAAGTCGAGGGATCCAATTTAAGTGGAGTTAGTGCAAGGTGTTCTTGGGCAGAGGTAGATCCAAGCAAACTCATCAAGGCCAGGTCTTCCAAGGAAGAAAATCAAGACAGTTTAGGAGAGAAAACCGATGGACAGGGTTGCTCATACTACACTCACGGGAGTCAGAACGATATAAGCAATTTCAAAAGCGACGGGGGTAAAGATGGAATGGGTTTACTGGAGGCGTCTGAAATTCTGCAGGTGAAGAAGTTGGAAGGACTCAGTCTCGTTTTTAACCTCGAAGCAGGCAGTCTGCTTCCTCTGGCGATCAGAGGGAGGGTGAAGCACGGCCGTCACTTCACTTTTAAATCGATTTTGACCGACACTGTTATAACATTAGTTGCTAACTCGGTTACAGGTACTTTAGTAAACTCCGAAAATCCGTACGTCGTTCAAGGACCTTGGCTACAAGTCTTAATACCTGACGACTTAGCTCAGGACATGGCCACAACATTCCAGGTGCTCACGAGTCCCGAAATCCTAGCTCTACCAAAGACTTTTACTTGGCCCGATAAAAAACTTTCGATTACTATCGTACCCGATAAAGTCTGAAACGCTCGACTGTTAAACTAAAAACATGTTACGTGATATTACAATAATTAGGAGGAGCCTCAAGTCTTTTGTTTCTGTTCAACTGAGTTAATTAGAATTTAAAATCAATTTTTATTTTTTTTACTAACATATTTATATACAATTACAAGCTCAATGACCTACTCAACACTAATAAAGTAGGTCTAACACTATTCGTAGATGTTTTAATTAATGGGTAGTTTGTAGAAGTTTTACATACTACAGTGTTTTGTACTTAAAATTCAAAATTTCACCATTTTGTTCACATCTAAAGTGCTTTAAGTTTTGACTGACTTTTGGTTTTTTATCTATACTTTATGTTCACAATCAGCGTCAAATTATTTATAATTTATTTGTATTTATTGTAAAAGTATGTTAACGCTTACAAATGTGCACATAAATATTTATATTGTCTTTTTACTTCCATGTGTGCCTTACAACAGTATTGATAGAATTAGAAGTACTGCAATACCATAAAAATAAGAAAAAAATATATATATACATTGAGTAATCGTTGTTTGGGAATGTTCAAAAGGTTTTATAGCCTAAAATACACCAAATATCTCAATTCAGTAGTACAATGTGCAATAATGAGGTTTGACAGGTTAAACAATGATTCCCACCAATTATAACAATGAATCAGTCATTGTTGTAACAATGAGGTTTTGGTTAGAGTAATAATGGTGTTTGATAGGTGAAATAATGACAGATTAGCAAATAAAACAGTTTTCTGTTGTAGTTATTGCAAATTCTTCAAATTTTGATTAATATTTAGTGTTTATTGTATTACTTGTGGTCACAGTAAGGGTGAAATTGGTTATTTTATTTATTTTTTTGACTGGAGTAACTCAGTGGTCATAAACATGCAAATATCTATTTATTTTGACTTTAATTTAATTCCATTTGTACTTTGAAGCACTGTATGTTATCTAAAATTAAATATATTGTTATTCGCTTAAACACAGTTTCATCGAATTGAATTTATAAAGAGAAATTACTATTTAAAAGCTTCTAAAAGCTTAAAACTCTGCTTCTAGTGAACTTCAACAGTAAATATCATTAGTTATTTGAAGGAACAATGTGCAATAATGAGGTTTGACAGGTTTAACAATGGCAGGCACCAATTATTACAATGAATCAGTCATTGTTGTAACAATTAGGTTTGGATAGAGCAATAATGGTGTTTGATAGGTGAAATAATGACAGATTAGCAAAAAAAAAATTTCTGTTGTAGCTAATGCAAATTCTTCAAGTTTTGATTGATATTTAGTATGTTTATTGTATTTTTTGTGATCACAGTTAGGGTAAATTACTTATTTTTATTTTATTTATTTTGTTGACTGGAGTAACTCAGTGGACATAAACATGCAAATGTCTATCTATTTTGACTTAATTTAAGTCAATTTGCCCTTTCAAGCACTGTATTTTATTTAAAATTAAAAATACTGTTATTCGCTTAAGCACAGTTTCATCGAACTGGACTTATAAAGAGAAATTACTGTTAAGTAGTGTTTAAAAGCTTCTAAAAGCTTAAAACATAGCCTCTAGCTAACTTTAGCAGTTAATATCATTAATTATTTGAAGGAACAATGTGCAATAATGAGGTTTGACAGGTTTAACAATGGCAGGCACCAATTATTACAATGAATCAGTCATTGTTGTAACAATTAGGTTTTGGATAGAGCAATAATGGTGTTTGATAGGTGAAATAATGACAGATTAGCAAAAAGAAAATTTCTGTTGTAGCTATTGCAAATTCTTCAAGTTTTGATTGATATTTAGTATGTTTATTGTATTTTTTGTGATCACAGTTAGGGTAAATTACTTATTTTTATTTTATTTATTTTGTTGACTGGAGTAACTCAGTGGACATAAACATGCAAATGTCTATCTATTTTGACTTAATTTAAGTCAATTTGCCCTTTCAAGCACTGTATTTTATTTAAAATTAAAAATACTGTTATTCGCTTAAGCACAGTTTCATCGAACTGGACTTATAAAGAGAAATTACTGTTAAGTAGTGTTTAAAAGCTTCTAAAAGCTTAAAACATAGCCTCTAGCTAACTTTAGCAGTTAATATCATTAATTATTTGAAGGAACAATGTGCAATAATGAGGTTTGACAGGTTTAACAATGGCAGGCACCAATTATTACAATGAATCAGTCATTGTTGTAACAATTAGGTTTTGGATAGAGCAATAATGGTGTTTGATAGGTGAAATAATGACAGATTAGCAAAAAGAAAATTTCTGTTGTAGCTATTGCAAATTCTTCAAGTTTTGATTGATATTTAGTATGTTTATTGTATTTTTTGTGATCACAGTTAGGGTAAATTACTTATTTTTATTTTATTTATTTTGTTGACTGGAGTAACTCAGTGGACATAAACATGCAAATGTCTATCTATTTTGACTTAATTTAAGTCAATTTGCCCTTTCAAGCACTGTATTTTATTTAAAATTAAAAATACTGTTATTCGCTTAAGCACAGTTTCATCGAACTGGACTTATAAAGAGAAATTACTGTTAAGTAGTGTTTAAAAGCTTCTAAAAGCTTAAAACATAGCCTCTAGCTAACTTTAGCAGTTAATATCATTAATTATTTGAAGGAACAATGTGCAATAATGAGGTTTGACAGGTTTAACAATGGCAGGCACCAATTATTACAATGAATCTGTCATTGTTGTAACAATGAAGTTTTGGAAAGAGCAGTAATGGTGTTTGATAGGTGAAATAATACGGAATTAGAGACATGATTGTTGCGTATCACTGTGAATTAGTCTGTAACGCCTCAAAAACTCAACAATAGTAAATACATAAGAATTAGAAAATAGTTATAGGGAAAGGCGGGAATTGTATTATATTGTGAAAACGATTTGGCAACATGGGCACTCTGTATTAAAAGTGGGTGTTTCATAAAAGAGAGAACTGTAGTAGTAGAGTTCAATTTATAGATTGCTACTAGGGGTGAATTTGTTTTGCTTGTGGTATATAGAGGGCAGCAAATGGATCGAGAGGGTAAAATTCGAAATAAGAAAATGTAATTATTTTGAAATATTATTCTGAATGTAATTATTTACTTAGGAAAACGCAAATCAAAAGTCCAGTTTATTTATTTATTTATTTAGATAGAGATTACAGGAGATTAGATCAATTAATAATGAACAATAAAATTAGTCTTTACTTTGGTTTTAGTTAAATCTAAAAATGCTTCAATTTGATGTTCCAAAGTTTGATTGTTTGATGTGCATTTGTCTAACGTAATCGGTTTCAAAAATGAACCAATGGAGAGCGTGTAGATGAAGAAAAAGTGCAAACGCCGTCGACGTTCAAACGTTCTGGAAACAAAAATATTGTCACTTACTGATGGCATCTTTACTATCGTGATTTGTTGCAAAAGCCATTCTCGACGGCACACACACTTCTTGCATCCAGAGAAAGTCGTAAATAACCTCCGAAGTGGCTCTGACGCCGGCAACCAAGAAGTCATTCATTCCGTTGAAAAATAGTCAGTGGGACGGCAACGGCCACGACGACGACGACGCCGGGCGTCGCGGACTCGGCACACCAGTTCTCTCGTCGGCGCTCCAAAAAACTTTATGGGCATCGAGTAAACAATAGATACGATTCTCTGTTTCTGCACTCCATTACTATGTAGAAAGAATGGCCCTTGCATCTGATAGAAAGCTATAAAAAGAAACGGCATCGTTATTTCGGAATTCTATCTCGCCCTTAATCGATACATGTATGGGGAGATGAACAGGAAACGGGCCGATGTAACTCGGGGATTTGAGCGGATTAGATGGCACGCGGAACATCAGCTTGCATGCAAAACACTTGCTTCTTTCTACTTTATAGCTATACACCTCTATTACCCCATTTGCAACTTGCAGGAAGTGGTAGGTTTTGTTTACCAAAACACGTATTCGAGAAGGCGGTCTTGCAACGAGTTCACCCCAAATGCAGATTTTATATGTGTAGTTATTTGCCTGCAGGAATATCTCTACACGAAATTAAACTTTAATTGTTCTTTCTGTGTTTGTTACTTTTAGAAGTACCTCAAGGTTCGTCCTTGAAATACGTCACCCAAGGTTTTACCTTTTCAAAACCTTTCAGTCCACTTTCAGCGACCCCCTAACAAATATTATGTCACAAAAGCTAGTCCCTCCTCTATAAGCGATTTCTTGTGATTTTAAGAATTGTCAAATTCGGAAAAACGTTAAAATAAAATTAATGAACTACAGGAACTGCGAACGTCACACTTCCTTAGACTCCCTCCCCCCTTGTCATATCTCGTCACTAAGCAATATCCCTCCCTTACGTATTTTATGAATAACCGTTAATTAAAGCTTAAGTACGAAAACTTTGAATTTTAAACTGTTGACTACGTTTTTAGACAAGAAAATCAAACCATTTTGCATTTTGATTTTATAACATCCAAATAGGTTCTTATACCTGAATGTTGTTTGTCCAAGACGTTCAATACAGGAATAACCTGGATCTCATTAATTTGCCACTCTTAATAGGAATTTACGTTAAAAATTTTTTCGAAAATGTTCGCAATGTACAAGGGGCTTATTTTGAGCTACTTGATGAGCATTTCACGCACTTAATGCTAAAGGAATTTGCCCGTAGGATATTTATGGTTATTCTTTAGAACCCTTTTTCTGCTCCTAATTGACTCTAACCACAACTAGCTACTAACCCTTCAGTTTTATTGACTTCCTGTTCTTCTACTATTACTATGAATTTAATTTTTTAAACAATTTCAAAAACCTCACAGACGACTCCCTAACTATCTCGTGTTTTTTATATTCGTTTAAAAAAAATTGGTTGTGTTATCGAGGTTAGTTAATAGAGGCGCGTATTGTTTCGGAAGGGATCGATGCCTCCCGTTTTAAAAACATATTTGGGAAGAGGGACTTATTGAAGACATATTTTCCCGTTTTATGGCAGCACATATAGCATCGATGCGGGGTTAATTGACTTTGAATTTTTCCGTCCTCGCATGGACTTTTCTGCCAACTCTTTTGCCAAATATCTTTTGTGATACTAACGCTGCTGAATACATTATACGAAGAAGTTTACAAATAATTTCCTTTCGTGTGTGCAAAAAAGTTCGGCTAAGCAAAAATTCCGCCGTTTTGAATTATTGATGAGGCAAAAAACGGCAATATTACGTATCTCGTATTCTGAAAGATATTCGTACCATATCAGAATAGACATCTCATATTTTATACAGTTATTAGGTCAACATTTTTAACGCCGGAATCAATGAAATTCTCATTTGTTTTATTCACAACAGACTGTCACCTTTTATATTTTTCGTTGTTTTAGAATCGTTAAAAAACAATGAATTTTGATGATGTGTAATTGTTTTTTTAATCTTTATTCCACCACTT